AAAACACATTTTATATTTTGTTCAAATACCACTTTTATCCCCCCCTCCCATTATTCAAATGGCCAAAACACATCATGTATTTATAAAAATAGTTTCAAAATACCCTTGACGCAATAAATTTTTGAAAATACCAAGATTGCACCTTCCAATCTATAATAAATATTGTTTTAGATATGATTTAACTAAAAAATTGAATAAAAAATTTTAAAATGTTCAAATAAATATTCCAATAAAAAAAATACTCCAATTATATTTTTCACTTTTTGAAAACTAATTTTATTTAATATTTTGGTTTAATAAATGTTGAGAAGGGTAATTTTGATATCTTAAAGAAATTAATTGCTTAAGAGATAATTTGAATCTGATTTTTATAAACTCAAGGAGTGTTTTGCAAATGAGAGAGTTAAATGTGGCGTTTAGATAAAATATATGGGTGTTTTGGATATTATCCCTTAAATCAGAAAAAATAGGTAAAACGAATCGGCCAGCTAAAAAGTTAACGTGGGCACTTCTAGTGCTTATTGACAATATTACTTTTCAAATAAATAATCTAACAGAATTTTCAAAGAATGCAATAAAAGACTTTTGGTTTGTCCGTCTTTGAAGCTTGGAATCTCTGTTATCAACTGACTGAATAAAACAAATAGTAAAGGCAAATTCGAAATGCTAATGATCATATTACTTCTAACTTTTGCTCCTTGTTTGTTATCTATGCAAAGGAACAACATGATGAAAAATTGAAAAGTATAGCCCACCTATGCTAAGTCTTGTATATGACTTGACTAATTCCCTTCCCTTGATCTCACTTTGAGATTTTGACGTGGTAAATTACAAATAAAAGAAAAAAAAATTAATGAATTAAGTTTTATTCTATATAGATAGAACGTCTACTATTTGTTACTGCCTCGTTCATTTCACCGATTCGAGTTTTCAGTTTTAGATTTTTACAGTAAAAAGCTCTCAAAAAATGTCACATTTAACTTTTTCTACTACAGTGAAAAGCTATAAAAAAATGTCACATCTCAGCTCGAATTGAAAACTCGAATCCGTGAAGTGAACGATATATTTTTTTTTCCCACAACTTAGTAGGGTTTGTACAGTAAGGAACACTAACATTATGCAACAATAATGGAATCTAGATATGACATGAATGTTCGTATGATATAACAAAATAAATAATTACTCTGAGTAGGTATCTGTTTTTTTCCCCCTTGGGAATTTGTAATAAATGGTTAGCTGGACACTCTACCTAAGCCAAAATTTAGATGGTGAAGAAAAATAGTCAAATTTTTTGAGACATTCTCAAGACAGTCTTCTCACTTAGATCTCGTTTATTTTACCGATTCGAGTTTATAATTCAAGTTTTATTATAGTAAAAACATCTTAGAAACAGTCACATTACTTTTTTATTACAGTAAAAAGCTCTCACATAAAATCATATCTCAATTCAAATTAAAAACTCGAATCAATAAATTAAACTAAACACCGTTATACTCTCTCCCTCTTTCTCCGTTTTCCTTCTCCTGCTTTATGGCTCTGTATTTACGGCTCTGCAGTAGTTCCGTATAGAGAGAAGGAATGGATCACTAACAGTGAGACCCGCTTGTTATACACACACACAAGTAGAAACGCTTAGCAGTCCTGCGAGTTATAGCAGTGCGGAGCCAAAAAGCTTTAGCATGAGGATTCAAATTTGGGGCCAAGAAGTTAATATATAAAAATTAGATTTATTAAGTAAACAATAGGTTGGTTAATCAACTTAATCAGTAATATATAATTTATTGCTTACTTAGTCAGTAAATATGACATTTACTAAAAACGACCATTTTTAAAATAATTAAAAAAAATTTTGGTTAATTTTTTAGGTAATCTTTATTATTATACAATTCCCCTTAAAATAAATAAAAAAATAGACCGTTTTACCAATTTACTTTTTTTTTTAGTTTTACCAATTCACTTTTTTTTCCCTTTAAGGTAAATGACTCAACATTAAAAATTAGGATTTTTTTGTTACTAAAAAAAAGGGGTCTTACTATCATAGGGATTTTTACCGGTAATGTAGATTTCTGACTTTAAATGTAGTTAAAATCATCTCAAAACAAATAGTACATAGTAAATATAGTTTTTTATACAAATCTAACGGTTGAAAAAAAATACTAATATTTCCTTTTTGGCCTTTTCTGTGGACCAACAACACTTTGTGGGGGAGTTTTTTTCCAATCGTAACCTGCTGAAAGACTAATGTACTTATCTTATATTTAGTCGTAACAGTTACTATTTTGGGAACTAGAAGTCGTTTTTAAGCATATGACAATAAACAACTGTCATGCGCTACTCCAAACAAATGTTCATGCATGACCGGACGTGTCTATAAAAAAATAGAAGCATGACAGATGTAATCCTCCATGACAATATTATTCATGTTTAAAAATGACAATTGGTTACGAAAGAACGATTAATATTAACACTAAAAATGACAGATGTGCGTATTATTATTCATGTTAAAAACGAAAGTTATTTACTAGTGAGTCTTTCAATACATTCGTATAATTATTCATGACAGATGTACTAATCGTTCCTTGTCAAATGTTTAAAAACGACTTCTGATTTTCAAAATAGTAACTGTCACGACTTAATACAAGAGAATTACATTAATTTTTTAACTGGTTATGATAGCACATAGGAAATAAGTCAATCATTTAAGTGACATTTGTTTTAATGCTTTTATCTGATTTAAAATCATAATTCTTAATTCTATTATAATATTTTTTCTCTCATAAAAAATTTAAATTTTATAAATTAAAATTATAAATTATAATTTTAAATCTATAAACAAGTGAAGGGCTATAGTCAAGTCGTTCATTTTTTTTTCTTAGACATATAATAGAAATTAAAAAAAAAAAAAAAAGTAAGGATTCTACTCTACAATGCGTATAGGTCAAAATTAACCCCCCATAGGATTACAACCTACAAGGGCCCCTATGGACTTCACAAATCACAAATACACTTATTTGGCAGTTACTGCACTAGATTCCTGCCTACACATGTCAGATTCTTCTGTGTGATAAGTGGAACACTGTCCAACATCCTTCTCCTCTGTTCTTTTTCGTTCTCACCTTCCATGCAAATCACTGTCCAAGTTGTTTTCCTTGGAAAACTGGTTTTGGGAATTCTATTTTGTCAAATTATACGCCAATTAAGGGTAAGCTGAAAAGGAATATGTTTAATGTGATTTTGACATCTGGGACAAGAGGTCGATATCTGTCAAAGGAAATTAGACTTTTAAATCTAGCAAAAAAAAAAAAAAAAAATTAGACTTTTAAATTTTCATATAAAAGCAACTTCCAGGAAAAAGTTTAATTCTATATTTATGTCCTCTTTAACTACTGTTAGGAACTATTATTAGGTTTAAATTTCCAACCGCCTGATGTGTGATTGGTGTTGTTTTACATCGCATGGTATAAATTTTAAACTTAGACACCCACCAATCAGTCAGTTAAAAATTCAGTGACATTTAAAACTATAACCTTGCCGACAGCTAAAAGAAGAGTAAGAGGTCTCGTTCATTTTACCGATTTGAGTTTTTAATTTTAAATTTTTACAGTAAAAAGCTCTAAAAAAATGTCACATCTAACTTTTTCTGTTACAGTAAATTTTTTTAAGAAAATATCACATTTTAACTGAAATTAAAAATTTAAATCCACAGAATGAACGAGTCTAAAAAAATGTCACATCTAACTTTTTCTGTTACAGTAAATTTTTTTAAAAAAATATCACATTTTAACTGAAATTAAAAATTTAAATCCACAAAATGAACGAACATATCTATTTATCTAGTAGGATTAATTCTCATTCTATTATAAAAAGTGGGACTTCCAATGCGAGTCTATAAGTGGAGCCCACTCTCTATGTGAAAGTGAGGATAATATTCCTGTCAAGTTATACAACATTTTTCCTGAAAGAAACAGTCTCTGCAGCAGAAGTTCCATTTTGTTTTAGAATCTGGTAAGTAATTTGTTCGGAAAGCTCGAATAAGTTAAAAGAAAAAAGGTTACATAATGTTGGGTACAAAATGATTTTTGACTTACTAAACCCAACTGCCAAAAAGAATATCATGAGACCGAAACCTAGATGTTAGCAAAGCCGATTATTTTCCAATAAAATATCATCAGGTGTATCAAATTCTGTCAGGTGAATCATCAGGTGTATCAAATGCTGTCAGATCTAACATTCAGTACTCTATACCTATTGAAAAAGCTCTCACTTGATATTTAATCGAAATGTAGGAATTATTTACATTGTGTTTTTTTTTTTTAATAAGATGTTAAAATTATCTCATATTAAAAAAAAAAATGGATTAAACGGGTTAATTTTGCGGGATAATTAGCAAAGACGAAAAGGAATAGTCTCAACATTTTTAAAATCGTGGGGTGAGTTTTCTCATTTTAAACAAACTCAAGGGGATCATTTTGGTTAAGGTATTGGAAAAGTTTCTTTTGTAGTTTTACAAATCCAGGAAGAGAATTCTGATTATGGTTTTTTGTTACACCATATTAATATGAATGTTAACGGTGAAATTTCGTCAATAGAAATACACCAAATCACCTTCTGGTATTCTGTGGGGTTACCGGCTAGAAATTAACTGTATATTTAAAATTATGTTATGAAGTTTTTGTTATATTTTTTGAAGCATGAGAATAATGCTTGAATGAGAGGACACCCGAAATATCCTCTCATTCAAGCATTATTCTCGTGCTTCTAAAAATATAACAAACACTTCTTAACATAATTTCAAATATATAGCTAATTTCTAACCGGTAACCCCACGGGATACCAGAGGGTGATCCGGCGTATTTCTGTTGACGAAATTTCACCGTCAACAATGAACATAACACATTATGTAGTCGGATTAATCCTTGCAATCCGCTTTTAACTCATGTCCGTTTATAATAAATTTGAACTCACTAACTCGGTGTAAATTTTGCGATTATTGTGTTACATCCCCAATTACCATCCCTAAGTTGAGCTTTGTAAATTGCTTTATTTTGCGTAGTTCTTTCATCTCATCTACACTTCAATTGGCATTTGGCACAACATTAACAACATCCTGAAAATGACCAAATGAAACTATGATTTCATCACAAATGAGAACTCTTATCTAGCGTACTCCCTCTTGATTTTCCATCAAAAGTGACAAGAGGTTATTCAGACGTATTTTATATGAGAATTCCATCATGTCTCTGAGTAAAAATCATTAATGACGGTTCGAACCACCAAAGGTATTCTCACAACATGAACACCATCTCCCCAGAACAAGTTCCCAAAGGAGTATCTCCCTTGAGTCCTTATCCGAGCACAAAAAGAGACCTTGAACTTGAGCTTCTTCACTGTGGAATTGAACACCAAAACCGATGGCTTAACACTCGCGGTCACACCGGCGGGAGCTTCAACACGAGCTATGTAGACCGAATTTACCGGGCCCACATTCGTAACCGTTCTTGTAACGGTCAAGCTACGCATGAGCTCAGGAATGGTGATGGAAGGCAGATTAAGGTCCAAAAGGAACTCGGTTGATTTGGTGCTGCATTTGATTGATGAATTAGCCAAATAGCTTATGGCAGTGTTGTTGTAGCCCATTGAGCAAAGGAAACGGATATAATCTGAGGTCCCCAAGTCATATATAAGACCAGGAGATATGGCTTTGTTTGGATCAACATGACCACCTCCATAGTCAAATGGATCACCTTGCTTGTAAGGAGCTCCCTCAGCTACTATACTTTGGCCATATTCATCTTCCAAAGATGCTGTAGAAAAAAGGAAACAGAGAATTAGAGAATGAGTTTGAACATCACAATCTATTTTGCATTTTTTTTCTGTAGAAACTTTTTTACTCCTTTTTAGACATCTTGTTATTGATAAAACCTTTAAGATGGTTTCTTCCTTTAGTTGCTAGGATTTAATTTTTGACATGTTAATTGTAATTCATTTTAGTACAATAGTGTCACAAACAGTATAGAAACAAGTATGCTATGGATAATGTTGTTATAAAACGGTGAAATTTTGTGGTGGCGTATGAGAGAGACTTTATTAGCTAAACAGACAGATTTTAATCAAATTCAGTAGATGAGCACACTTTTTTTTCTTTTCTTTTTTTAACGCGATTGATGTCGATATAATCTGAAGTTCAGAAACGCGCAATAATAGTAATGTTCTCTGCTACATCCCAATTTAAAAAAAGGTTTCTCCTTGATTTTTCCAACTTAGACTTCGCAGAAGTTTAAAACTACTATGAATTGTAAATTCCGATTGATGGTAGAACTATTATTAATGACGAACAAGTTTGTTAAGGTTGATAAGAAATGTCCCTCGATGTTATGTTGTTACCTGTTGTGACAAGTGCAGACTTAATTGCAGCAGGGCTCCAGTTTGGGTGGATGCTTTTAAGAAGAGCCACAATTCCAGTAATATGAGGGCAGGCCATGGAAGTTCCCGATTCGAATTTGAACTGAATCGAAAGCTGTCGATTGTCAGAGGGATCTTGTTGCAATGGTGAAGCAACAGGAGACCAGGAGGCTAAGATATTAACCCCAGGAGCAGCAATGTCAGGCTGAAGGGAAGCATCTTAATATATTAAATAACAATCTTTATCAGAATTGTAAGATATAGATATATATCTAATAATAATAATAATAATAAAGAAATAATACTAGAGACACAAACTTTAATCCTAACTTTTTTTGTACAAACTAACATGGCGTAGGAGTTATAAACTTTTTATTAATAGACGTTTAAAAGATTGCCACGTCAAAATGATAAGAGTTTCCATCTATTAGTGAAAAAATGACAACTCACCGGCACATAAGTTGGTATAAAAAAATTAGAATTAGAGTTGGTGTTCCTAACATTGGTCATAAGAAATTTTCCATAGTGCCCCAACTGACAAAATGTTCTGACTCCACGAATCGCGATATGTCACATATGTATATGTGTTTGCCTCCGGGTGTATAAAGGAATTAAAATAACTTACCTTCAAAACAGAAGGGGAAATTGAACTGGGTCCTCTAGCAGAGAAGAATGCTACTTCAGGAGATATCTGTTGTCCCACGGTTGTTCTTGTTGGATTGAACTTGACGACAGGATTTCTGTGGCATGTATTATGGTGACGTTATTGTGTTTAGTTACAGATTAGCTTGTTATTATTAAGAAAAACAACATGGTATTAAGCACTTTGACCCTTGTGAATGCAGGTGCATGTTTTTTAACTACATTTCAGAAAGTTAAATTGAGGACTAATAATGCATTCAAGTTCAAAATAGCCTAGCCATTCTAAAAAGAAACATAAAGATAATGTCAGAAAACATGAGTACAGGATCATATAGTTGGCTCTTGGCTGGAATCTTCAGGAGCATTTGATAGATTAAAAACTTTCCAGCAGTGACAATGTTATGTCATTCTAAAGCCTGTAAGAGGTCTGTCTATTAATCCCGGTAGTCTTTCAATGGGAAAAAAGGGATTAGTATGTCCCCATGTCCCACCAGTGCCACTTTTGGAATCCACTGGGCGTCGGACCAGATGTGGAACGAAAAGGGGACCAGTCTACAATCTATCAACAATCCCCAGATGTCAATGCACGTCAATCACACAACCTCACTATTTCAGAGGACTATGTACGGATGCAAAGAATTAACATCTCACGGATGGAAGAGAGCTCCATGAAGCTATCTTCCCATGCAACTATGCCACCACCATCGGCGGTTTTCTCAAAACAGTTCAAAACTTGGAATTTCCCGTATCATAGGGAAGTTCCATACTAGATAATAATGTGAATTGCAGACACTGAAAGAAGTCTTTGAAGGAAATACCTTGTTGTCTCCATGTATGTTATTATAGATGTCCCAATTGTAAAGTCAACTCGGACAAGAGGAAAATTCCAGGACTGAGAAACATCCTTCCTAGGAGACTGCGCGAAAATGACACCAACACCTGAAGCACTCAGGACTGTTCTTGTCGCAACTATAGCCGATCTCTGGTATCGAGATTGGAAACAAAGAACCACCTTCCCTCTTGCTAAAGTGTTATTCAGAGTCCCAGAATCACAGCTTCTGTTAATTAAGAAGTGCACACAATTGGAATTTTCATTATGGTTTCAATTTCTTGGGAATATAGTTCGTGTAGAATCCAGACTTTCTAGAAAATGTGAAAGAGCAATGATACGTATCATAAAAATTATGAATGCACACGTTTCAAAATTCTGTGTAATTTGTAAAACTGAAATTACTGTTTGTCCAGGTTATTTTACTCCTCAAAAATTTAGTTTCATGATGTGCATAATTTTCCAATATGAAAAGGTGGTGTTGTACCCAGCAGTGGTTATATCTGCATCAATAGATGCAATGTCTTCTCCATAAACAAGGGAATAAAACTTGTCCAAATCCTTACTTGTATAGAGACCCTGACCCTGCAATGAGAAAATAAAGCTCATGATAGTTTTATGTCACATATGTTTATGAACTTATTTAGAGTTTACAAATTTAGATTGAAATTTAGAGTCAAGAGGATGCATGAGCCAAGAGTAAGTATGCAATTCTCAACTGAAATTTCAACTTGGCAGAAATCAGAAATTCTTATAGAAATCATGCATTCTCGGTGGGAAGGGGGGACCGCAATCCTGGGTTCAATAATTCTAATGAAGAATAAAACCCTTTCTTGTAAGAAACTAAAAACTTAAAATGAATTTGGCTCTAAAGAATGGTAATGCATTAATTTGAATGGGGATTATTGGAATGTTTTTCTTGCAAATCCCCCAACTAGTGAAACATTGACATTGCTATTACCAAAACTATTAAAATACCTGTCTCGAAGGATTCTGAAAATCTGAGAGCCAGATTTTGGTAGGGGAAATGAGTTTTGAGGGAAAGGTATTCCTTACCACTTTTTTTTTTTTTTTTTTACCACCTTTAAATTAGATGGGCAAGTCAGAAAAAATAGTTAAAACTAATCGAAGTTGGATGGAAGGAGATTTTTTGCTAACGGAACAAAGTTTGAGGGGATGGAGTGGTGCACTTTAAAAGTCGAAGGCAAAGGGACATTAGTGACATGGTCAAGGGCCAAGTATAAAAATTATCCAAAAAAAAAGTTGAAATCATGAATTCTTCTCCCTTGTCTTGGTTTTGAAAATATTAAGCATTCAAAATTGACAGGATTTGAATCATAATTGCCTAGCTGGTTTACATTATCTCAAGGTATCCACCCTATGTTAGATTAGTAAATACTTATCACTCTTACCAGCAACAATGAAGCTTGAATAATAGATTTTTGGAAATTAGAAAAATGATATTTGAAAATTGAAACTTACACTGTCTTTCTGACACAGACATAGGGCTAAAATTTGTAATTCCAGGAAATTCTTTGATAGCAACCATTAGGGTGAATTGGAGAAATAACATTTCTAGAGAGTTGCTATTCGAATATACCATTTCTCTAAAGATTCGAGACTAATTTACACATAAAAGAGGTGTGGGTGAATAACTATACTTCATAGATGGTACATGGCCTAATTGACACCAACCCATTTCATGTTAAATTCTTATGACACATGAACAAGAACCAAGCACAAAACTTCTATGGCTAGAAGGACATAGGGAAGTACCACAAGAGTTTGATTATTTCCCAAGGTAATCGTAGTTGGAAAACCTCTATCAATGGTGCTTGCAGCGACAGTTAAAATCCACGGAGCAGTGTTTATGACAGTTTGGGTATAAGGACCAGAATTTCCACCTGAACACACTACAGAGATCCCTTTGGCTACAGCATGGAATGAACCAATGGCCAAAACATCGTCGATATAAGATGGAAGAGGAGGTGAAGAGCCAAGAGATACCGAGAGCACATCCACACCATCATGGATTGCATCATCAAATGCTGCGAGTAGGTCAGCTGAGCTGCAGCCACCAGTTGCCCAACAAACTTTGTAGACCGCAAGCCAAGCAGATGGCGCTCCACCCCTTACCCTGCCCCTAGCTAGTCCCATAAAACTAGCATTTTCTACTGGAAAACCAGCTGCAGTAGACGATGTATGAGTACCGTGTCCAGCAGCATCCCGCGGAGACAGAAACTCAATCCCATCACTTGCATTTAACATGCCAAACTCGGCTTCATATCCTTTGACATACCAACGAGCACCAATTATTTTCCTGTCCCAACAAAGGTAGTCAACTTCATCCTCTTCTGTGGCTCATCACATAGAGAAGCAATTATTGTAAAGTTTGAGGATGAATTTCAATGTATCAAAACAACACAGAAGATTTTCTAATTAATTATATAAGTTCACAATATAAAATAAAAAAAAATCTTTCGTATGGTACAAAAAATACGCTACATAGGTTTAATTCTGAATTGTCGGAATTTTTTTAAGTTCAATTAATTTGTCATACTTTTCTTAACTTGATATGATTCTTATTTGATTTGACAGCTCATAACTATGTCCTATTGGTACCTTACAAAGAATTCTCCGAACAATGTACAGCGAAGAAACAGAAAACTAATTTGATATGAGGAACTCTTGAATTAGAGAATAAGAAAAAGTCAGAACACAAACAAAACCAACTTGTTACAGTGTGAAAGATTGAATTCCAGTCCTTGTTGACATATCCCTTTCCAGCGACATGGCGCCTTTGCCATATAGGCGTCATCTTTGAAGCTCTTGGACTCGGGCCAAATTCCTGAATTAATAAAAGTTAATAAAAAAGTTGAGCTCAAACAAAACTTGATCCCACAACATAGCAAGCATCCAAATCAGTTGGAATGGGAAGATTTACAAACTAACCAGTGTCCATGACGCCAATAATAGCACCACTGCCTGCTCGGCTCTTCGTCAGAATTCCGTTCCGAATATAAGGGTTCACATGCAGAAAATCCCAACTCCTAGTCGTGTGGAGACTGAGAATTCTATTTGGAACCACAATTACAACTCCAGGGAAATCTACACGTATCATTATTGTAATACAAGTTGTCTGAGTAGATATACTTGTTAGCAAAGCGAAGAGTGTCCGTGATTAAGAAAATAGAGGTAGTAGTTCACCAACATTGTAACACCTGCAATAAGCTCAGCTTGAGACGGAGTTAGGACCGCAGCGAAACCCGAAAATCCATGCTTGTAGCTATAGAGAATTGATTCCTTTGCAGCTTCTTTACTGTCATTATGAAATTTGCAAAGGTCTTACTTTTTTTCTTTTCTTTTCTATGTTATCGCCACAAGCTAAAAAAGTTCACTTCCTACTACGGTCTAATTCAACATGATAAGCTCAAGAATAAAAGCAGTTAGGGGCTTGGAGACCCCCTTTTTTTTTTTGGCTTAAAAGGGGCTTAGAGACTTGTTAAGCATAAAACAATACTTAAAAATGTACGTTCATTTTACCGATTCGAGTTTTGATGCAGTAAAAAATTTTAAAAAACAGTCACATTTAATTTTTTTATTACAGTAAAATATTCTCATATAAAGTTATATCTCAACTCGAATTAAAAATTCGAATCAGCGAACTAAACATGACCCTTAAACTAAAAGATGTACCTATGAAGTGAATTTCTTCCTTTACAAAATCACATAGAAATTAAGCTCAAAGAAAAAGAGGAAAAGTGAACCTTCCAAGTATATGAGAGAGAATCTGATGGTGTGACTTAGAAACAAGCTCTGGCTTACCATGTTTTCTTTCCCCCATGTACACGATATGAACCTGAAAAACAAAAAAAATAAAATAAAAAAACCAATTTCTTCTTCCATTTCAAAGAAAACCCAGAAAAGAAAATATTTGATTAGAAAAAAGGAATCTAATAACAGTTCTTTCTTACTCACATTGCTAGAAGCAAGGGCAACAAAGATCAAAAAGTATTGTTGCAAAGACAGACCAAAACAAATGATGCCAAACATATTCCAGGGAGGAGCCATGGGAAATCTGAAAAGAAGACACAAGTAATCAAGTGAGAAAACTGAAGACCCTTGTCTATAAATCACACTTATTGGTGTATATGTAATAGGCTTTTTTGTGAGTGGTTGATGTATGAATATGAAGGTGGACCACTTCTTTTGCCTGCTCCACTACTACTACACTTGCTAGCTTGCTCAGCAAAGCACAGAACTGTGTATATGTATGTTGCACTAATAGTAATTGATTGAACGTTGTTGCTCCATTATATGCAAAATCAGATTTCACTTCATGATCATTTTGAAAGAGAGTGTTGTTATAATAAAGGTAATGATGTGCTTGGAGTTCCATTGGACGTCTTGTCATGAGGAAGCATGTTTTTGTTCAATGTTGACTATTTTGGAACCCAAGCACAAGCAAGTTGGTGACTCTGTCAGATGGCTCACTTCCCTAGACCACCAAAACCATTGAAGATCACTGTTGATTAAACAATGCTATTTAACATTGACGGTGCGAAACACCATCCTTATTATATAATTGGTAGTGTTTAGTATTATCGGTGTTCTTAATATTTTATCTATTGATAGTTAGAAATATTTGTGTCTTAAATTAGACATGTAATATTTGTGGAAGTTTAAGATATGAATGATGATATATAAGACTATCTTGAATGTAAATATCAAATGTTAATATTACAAAAATGTAAAAATGAATTCAATTTTATGCTTCAATGCTTAATGATATTTTAAATATTAAATTTATTTTTTGTTATAATTATGAAGTTTTGGAACTCGTAAAAGTAATATGCTAATTCTAAATTAATTTAAAAATGATAATTTGAAAATGACTAAATGAAAAATCAATACCATCCGGGAGCTTGGCGGGATGAGCTCATGCCACTCGTGCCCCATTCAAGAAGTCGTTGGTTCGAGCTAGGACTCCTTTGAGAGGGGATCCATATGCCATGCAGGAATATTTTGCCTTCTCACCTTTATTAAAATGCTAAAATTGGCATTGTTATACTAATTTAGCATTGCATTAGAAATGTTGTAATATAACACTATGGATTAATCTCTACATGTGTGCTAATTTTAGTATCAAATGAATTAAAAGGTACTAGATTAGCACTTAAACCACATTATAAGAGGTAAAAAGAAAAGGAACAAATATCGGTAGAAGGTAGAAACAGACCAATTTCAAATTAGACAACTAATCTAGACCCCAACTTTTCTTTCCTTTAGGCTGCCCATGAGTAAGAGTGGCAATTCGTGTTAGTGAATCGTGCTCGTGTCAATTCGTTTATTAATCGTGTCAAAAAATATCAACCTAAATATGACTTGTTTATTAAACGTGTCAAAAATATTAATCCAAACATGACTCATTTATTAATTGTGTTAATCGTGTCAACATGTATAACCCGTTTAAATTAATATATTAAATGAATAATTAATATAATAATGACTTATTTAACACGGTCAAGACATGTTTAACATGTTTATTAGTCAAATTATCTTTTACTTTAAGAAAAATAAATGAATTTTACCTACAAATATTAAAATTCACATTATTTGTATTTAATATGTCATATAAATTTTCATGTTATATCACATATTATTAGATTGCAAATGACACATATAGTTAATAGTGTCAATTCGTGTCATTTCGTGTCAGGAGATCAATCCTAACCCAACCCATTTATTAATCGTGTTAACCCGATTATGACCTAAACCCATTTATAATAAACCTAAACCTACTAATTTTGTGCGGGTTTCAAATCGTGTCGTCGTGTTGCTACCTGAATTGTCAGTCCTACCCATGAGATTGATTAGTTAGCCTGGTTGCTGATTGTGGGATTAGGGGACTACTTATCCCAAGCTCTATAGTAGCAATCATCATTTTTAAATTTTATTCATTAAATTATTTTGTGCTAGAATGTGATAAAAATACATTTTGGCAAAGACTCAATTATAAACCATCTTCAAAGTACCATATTGATAATATGATTTGGTAGTCTAAAATTGTGTCCTATTGTTGGGTATCTGCTATAAATAAATAAATAAAATTGATATTTATTTATTTTATCACCCAAATTAAATAAAAAATTACGTTTGATATTTAAAAATCAATATATAAATTATTTTAAATTTTTTAATCAACTAATAAACACAATCTAATATCTACCAAGTATAATTCAATGTAGAATGCAACGAAGCCTACTTGAAATAATGTTTTTCACAACATTCAATTAAATTTACATAGTGATTAATTTCAGAAAGGTGATGAATTGTGGGTGCGTCCATAATTGTGGGTGCGTCATATCAATGATAGAACGCAATTCACAATTATGTAATACACATTTTAAGAAAGGTTTCATATACAACATTCATCTTTTTCTCTCTTATTTTGTTCAAAATTGTGATGTACGTGGATTTCCATAAAAAGTGCGTGATCATGGTGAGGCTTTAATGGCTTGTAATAATCGTGGAGAACATTATAGAAAGAATGAGAGAGACAAAGTGCAACACAATACTATTATGTCCCATCATGTCATTTTAACGCGGTTTTGTAATGAACATAATGAAGATATTATGCACTAATTATCAGTGCAGCAATAGTTGGAAAAACTTGTTTTCTACTCCTATTTCAGTAGAATTCTTTGGTAAATACCATGTTGTGGTTCTCAGTTCTTAATCGTCAGTTTTTTTTTATCATATTTTGTTCAGTTGTGATATTTTACTGGATATGATATTATTCTAATTTGATCTCACACTTTAAACTATGCATGAATATAATACAACGGTTAAAACTTGTTCGTATTGGTAAGGTTTTTAATACCTTACGATAAAATTCAGTATTTTTTTCATATCTTATAATAGAATTTTCCCTATTTTTCATGTTATTATTGTTAGATTATTACCAATTTACCACTCTATTTCGTGTGTTTCGGGGGTCTCCCGGGGGTGCCCCGGGAGTGCCCCGGGGGTGCCCCGGGGATGCCCCGGGGGTCCGTGGGTGCCCCAGGGGTCTCCCGGGGGTGCCACGGGGTTGCCCCGGGGGTTCCCCGGGTGTGTTTCGGGGGTGCCACGGGGGTCTCCCGGGGCTGCCCCGTGGGTGCCTCGGGGTTGCCCCGTGGGCGCCCCGGGAGTGCCCCGGGGGTGCCCCAGGGGTGCCCCGGGGGTGATAGTGATTCATAAAACACATTCATGAACCAGAGCGCTTTTACTAATCTAAGTACTGAATCAACACTCAAGAGAATTATTTATCTGCTTCTTTTCTCAAGAAGGAATGAATTCCATCTCATATAATAACATTCTCGGCTACCTACTTCATAATGTCTCTAAAATACAAGGAATAGGATTCATGATCTCAGAATCCATACTGAGTAAATCAAAAGACACAAATCCAGAAATATGAGTTTGTTAAGAACTCATAATTAAAATCATTCTATATATGACCATCAGTAGACTCAATTAAAATTTTTTATACTTAACGGAAATTATTTGAAATTCATATTGTGTCTGTGTCTTTATTCCACATAATCGCATTATGCGTAATACACTCATTCAACATCTCATTATATTAACAGTGCGGATAACACCGTTCCATTTTAAATGAGAATAACATGTATTAGTAATGTTTTAATTAAAGATTCCAAACTTTAATTAAATTTATTACGAACATCACTTTTTGATTATTATCCTTAAACATTATCCTCTCACAAACAACATTTATATACAATGTTTAAGGTCACATAAATAATCACGAAATTTTTATTTGATATTCATAAAATATTTACAAATACATACATATAAAATTATAAATAAACTCTTTTATTAAATAAATATTAAATCTCATACTTCTAACACACTATTCTCGACACTTATACACAATCACTTTTGCCATATGGGTGCTTCCAACTTTTGTGAAACGTGAAGTAATAATTAAAGAAAAAGTTGATCTGAATCAAACATTTGATGACTTGCAATTTACGCCATCATCATAATGCTCAACAGTTCAATACACACGCACAAACATAATTAAATAAATAAATAAATAGCATAGAACTTTTTATCCTTTTCTTACCCTTGATGATGGAAAATCACGGAATGAAAGCAGTGGAAACATTTTGACTCACTAATAAATACTAGTTGTGCATTTTGGTGAATTGGGTGGTAAAGGAACAACCGTTGAAAATTAATTCATTTGGGTTTCATCAAAATAGTCATGGTATTGATTATTAGTTGGGTTCGTGGTGCACTCTACAACATATGCTTTTAGTTCAACATAATTTCCTTCTGCTACTTCCGCACTTAATCAATCTCCTCTTTCTCATGCGTTGGTCCAATTTTTGACAACTTAGAGAATCAATGGTACTCAAGGATGAATAAATAATTTAAGAGGTTAACAGATTCTACCTAGCTCTAATTATGAATTATTTATGAAGAATTGATATATATATGCAGTGACTATATCAAATAGACACTTCATAGTTTATAAGTAATTTATATCTATAATTTCGAGAGTGCAATTCTAAATTTATAGTGGAGTAACTATTGAAATTAATATAATTAATTAATTAATTAAAGTGTTTAATTAATTATTAATTTTCTTAGAGCTCGGGATTATATGTCAATTAGTCTTCGTGTCGTCTTTGTAATTCTATTAGACACAAGGGCAAAATGTGAATTTTAGAATTACAGAATTCTAAAAATTAAACACTCGAAATAATTATTATTTAAATAATGTGATTGTTTAAATTTGAATTTGAACACATCTAGATTTATCCATTTAAACTTATTTGATAAGTTGTTCAATTTAGAATTCAAATTAATTTAAGTTTGACTTAAATTAGAATTTAAATTTGAATCAAAATTGCATTGCAGGATAAATGATAATTTTCTCTTCCTTCCCTATCTGTATTTGGCGCCACATAGGGATAAAATCCTCTACACATGGCCGGCCACACCTAGGATAAGGGAGTGGGAGATTTTATTCCAAATTCAAATAGGAGATAATTAACAAG